CCCGGTCAAAAAATGTATTTTTGAAAGAAAAATCTTTTTATCCCCTCTTTCCTTTAGGAAAACTCTTAATACTAATGTGGTAATCCCAGGCAGAATGAGACATAGGAAGTAGTTTGCATTGTGCAAGTCTCATTGCACATGTGCTGAAGTGAAGTTTCTTTTGCACTTAATGGAGCGGATCTGTCTATGTGCCAGGAGTCATATACAGGATATGGCTAAAAACAGTACAATGTATGTCTTCAATGAGTAGAGGAATTAGCAAATGAACAGATCAGGGGTTCTGTTGCACAGGATGATCTTTTCTTGGCTTAAGAAAAATCCTGGCCTGTGAGTGGCACATTTCTTCCATTGGTTGGAGTGTTCCTGTGTTGGGATTCATAGGGAAGTTGGGTTAGCTGACCGAGGCAAGGACAGAGTTGATTCCCTGGGCTGGTGAGGAAACTGCTCCTGAGCAGGGCCTGAGCTGTGGGACAGACTTGAGGACAGGATACTGGAGTGACTCAAAATGCATGCAGTGACTGTTTGAAGTCAGCACTATGAATGGCCTCTGGAACATGCAGTGCCAGTACCACATTGTAGAAAGTAGGCCTCTTTGATCTGGAGGCAGCACAAACTACTAAGCTCTGAGACAACCTGCTTAATCCTTAAACAGCCAACCTGGTTCTCTTCCACTTTTGGCTGCCACTTCTCCTCTGCACAGTCAGAGCTAACATTTCTAAGAACACACACATGTGTATGTGTTCATTCTCCCTGTGTATTCAGAATTTCCTTGAATTTAATATGAGCAGTCTTCTTTTGCCACCTTGCCCCCAATCTACTATCCTCCTAAAGTGGGGTTAAGTTTTAGGCACAGACCATTTTGGCATGAGTATTAAGTCAATGAATCAAAAATTCTGATCTCTTGAAGGCCAGCTAACTCAGCTTCTCCTTAATACCCACCAGTCATCTTACAGATCTTGATCACCAGGAGACCTGAATGAAATAGTGTATATAGCTCAGTGTAGGATCATCACTGCAGCCAAACAGAAAAGTGCAAAATATATTTAGTAGCTTCATCCTGCAAATGGGAATAGTTGTGTGCCATAATGCAGGTAACAGTATGTGACAATTCAAGCTGAGACTCAAAAGTATGTGTGGGAGCTGGGCATGGTGGCTTGTACCTGTAGTCCCAGATGCTTGGGAGGCTAAGGCAGAAGGATGGCTTGAA